AAAAAAAAAAAAAAAAAAAAAAAAAAAGAAGCAACTCTGAAATGGGGAAAACTGGCCCAGGGCCTCACACCCCAGAAGCTCCAGGTGTCTAGAGGACTCCTACATCATGGGGAGTCCTTGGGGGTTGAGTGGCTCCAGGCTGTTGAGTTCTTGGTGGCTCTGGAATCGGGAGCTGGGGGGGTTAGGATGCTCACCAGAGCTCTGGGGCACCCAGGGCCTGGGAGAGCCGCCAGAGGCTGAGGCCGAGGGTGGGGCCTGGGTGGCCCAGCTCCCGCCCCAAATATGGCTGTGGGGAGGCCACAGCGGCCCTGACCAGACAGGCCCAGACTAGACAGGCGCTGAGTCTCTCAGCAGACGGCACTGCTCTGCCTCTCCCCCAGCTTTACTGTGTCCCAAGCCGGGCCTTTGCCCCCTGCCTGGGATGCTAGAGTCCTCACCTGGCCCGGCCATGCCCTTGCTGGGTGACCCCGCTGGGTCTCTCTACCTCTCTGAGCTTCTGTTTTTTCCATGCATGAGAACTGCGACCTCCATCCTGGGACTCTCGGAGGGTGGGAGCTCCAGGTCAGAATCACTGTTTGTGGTCCATGGGCTCTGGCACGGTGGGGCTGGGTGTCCGGTAACTGTCTGCCCCACGTACCCCCGTGGAGGGGGCAAACAGAGCACATCTAGCCCCACCGTGTACCCAGCCCTGGCAGGGCGTGAGCAAGACTGCCCCCAGCAATCAGACCTCAGTTCCCGGTGCCCTTCGCACTTTGTGTGCACTGCCTGGTTCATCCTCAGATCCACGCTCTGGGGAAGTATCGTCCCCATTTGTCAGGTGAGCAGATTGAGGCAGGACTGCAGCCCCTCCACGCTGGGGAGTGGCTGCAGTGGCTGTCCTGGGCAGGAGCCAGCTCACGTAACTGGAGAGGGCAGAGTGGGGGCCGGGGGCACCCAGGAAGAAAGGTAGGTGGAAAGGTATCTGCTGGGGGGGTGGAGAGCACAAGGGCCTGGCCTTTCCTTGGAAGCTTTGTGGGGTCCCTTCCTGGGTGTGTGTGAAGAGTACAGTCAGGGCTGCACCCCGACCCAGTCCTCACCAGCCCAAATGGTGGGAGTAGGTGCCTGGCAGCCCAGGCCCTCCACAAGGGGGCAGGAGGCGGTAGGAGGCCTTGGAATCAGCATCTGGATGCCAGTCAGCCTGTGCCAAAGGGCCCTGCTGCGTGACGGCCTCAGCTTGGCCATCGACACGGCCGGCTGGGGTCAAGTGAGGGTGCGCTGACCGTCCACACCTCTGACCATAGGCCACCAGGACCCAAGGCTTGAGCAGGTCCCTGCATCCTCTCTCCTGCACAGGATGCCCACCGCCGCCACCCAGTGAGAAGGGGTCCACAGCCCTGGCGTGAAGCTCCTCCCAGCAGCCCAGCATCTGCCCCGACTGCCCAGGAGGCCCCTCAGCCTGCCGCCGGCCCCAGACCTCCCCGCTGCGGCGTGCCTGACCCGCTGGATGGGCCGAGTGCCCACAACCGACAAAAGCGGTTCGTGCTGTCGGGCGGGCGCTGGGAAAAGACGGACCTCACCTACAGGTAGGGCCAGGGGCTGCGAGCAGGCTCTCGCCCTCCACCTACCGCCCTCACCCTGCTTCTTGAGACACACTTGTGCCAGATCCCCATGGTAACAGGCTGGTGTATCCACTGGCCTCTGAGCCCCCTGGGTCAACACCCCAAACCCACACTTAGATGCCCACACAGATGGTACCCCCTGTACCCATGCCCTCCCTCAGCAGAGGAGTCTCAGCACATGCCTGGTCACACTGTAGACATGTGGGGACACAGCCTTCAGTCAGCCAGGCAGCCTCTGTGGGGATGCACTAAGGGCCAGGTCCTGGGATTCTGTGGTGAATGAGGCAGACACGGCCCCTCCTCTCAGCGAGCTAGGTGTTATCCACACCGGGTTCATATCTATCGCTGCAACTTGGGATCCGAGCAGGTAGGGAGCAGCAGTGGCAGGACAGGTAATAGCTCAGGTGACCTGAGGCCCCTCAGGGTGATGCAGCGGGGCTCATCCTGGGAGAGAAGGTGTGAATACTGGTGTGGTGTCCCGAGGCATTGGAGCCGAGACTGCTGGGGGCTCCGGAAATGTCCTGGGTGGGAACCAGGAGGGGGCAGGTCTAGGGCCCAAGGTCTCCCCACAGTGAGCGGTATAGTCAGGTCTAGAAGGTGGGCCTCGGGGCTCCTGGTCCTGTGTTCTTTCCACCCAATGCAGATACTCATGGGCACCTGAGGACACAAACCCACACAAAGATGTGCCCATGTGGCAGAGGGACTGGTGTGCCACACCTGAGGCCCAGGGCACACCTGGCCTGTGTCGTGCATGCCTGCTCCCCCACTGAGCAGCATCCAGGGGCAACTCCTGGCCCAACAGCCATCAGGGGCTGATGCTGCCCCATGAGCCAGGTCCAGGCCCCTGCTCCTCCCCCAGGATCCTCCGGTTCCCATGGCAGCTGGTGCGGGAACAGGTGCGGCAGACGGTGGCAGAGGCCCTACAGGTATGGAGTGATGTGACGCCACTCACCTTTACCGAGGTGCACGAGGGCCACGCTGACATCATGATCGACTTCACCAGGTGAGCCAGTGGCCGGGGACCCCTCTAGGAATGAGCCCCACCCATCAGCAGCCACTGACTCTGCCCCCACTCCCCTGCAGGTACTGGCATGGGGACAACCTGCCATTTGATGGACCTGGGGGCATCCTGGCCCACGCCTTCTTCCCCAAGACCCACCGAGAAGGGGATGTCCACTTCGACTATGACGAGACCTGGACAATCGGGGACAACCAGGGTATGGGCTGGGGACCCACTTTCCAGATGGGGCTACTGAACATCATAGAGAATGGGGACTTGCCGAGGTCCCTGAGCTGGGCCCGCAGCTCAGTGTCTTGCTGCAGGAGCTCGGGGATTGCTGGGCTATCTCCCTTTTCCAGGCACAGACCTCCTGCAGGTGGCAGCCCATGAATTTGGCCATGTGCTCGGGCTGCAGCACACGACAGCTGCTAAGGCCCTCATGTCCCCTTTCTACACCTTCCGATACCCGCTGAGCCTCAGCCCGGATGACCGCAGGGGCATCCAGCACCTCTACGGCCGGCCTCGACTAGCCCCCACCTCTAGGCCCCCAGACCTGGGCCCCGGGGCCGGGGTGGACACCAACGAGATTGCACCACTGGAGGTGAGGCCCAGGAGGGTGGGGAGGCAGGAGGTGAGGCCCTGCTTCCAGCCCCGACCCCCACTGCTGGCCTCTGTGGCTCCAGTGCAGGCTCTTTTTGACCCTTCTCTCCTACCCCAGCCAGATGCCCCACCAGATGCCTGCCAGGTCTCCTTTGATGCGGTCGCCACCATCCGCGGCGAACTCTTCTTCTTCAAGGCAGGCTTTGTATGGCGGCTGCGCGGGGGCCAGCTGCAGCCCGGCTACCCTGCGCTGGCCTCGCGCCACTGGCAGGGGCTGCCCACCTCCGTGGATGCAGCCTTCGAGGATGCCCAGGGCCACATCTGGTTCTTCCAAGGTGAGTGGGGGCTGGAGGTCACACTTCAGGAATATCATGGTCAAGGGTAGGGACAGACGGCAGACATGATGAACAGATGGAGTGTGCCTCGAACTCTTGGGGCCAAGGAAGAGTATGGCTCACTCCTCTGGGCACAGCTGGGAGGCTTCCTAGAGGAAGCGGCTCTCGAGGTTGGAGTAGAATTGAAGGTATCACACCCCATGGAGCATGTGTGATCATTACCCCTGGTCTAGAGATGAGGCTCCGGGGCTCAGAGGTGGTGAAGTGACCTGCATGAGGGCACAGCTTGGAAAAGGCAGAGAGGGATGTGATCTGGGTCTGGCAGAGACGAGAGCCTGGAGCATTGCGGGCAGCAGGGACTTCACAAAGGCCCAGCTAGGGCCTGCTATGGCAGGGCTGGGCCCAGGGATGGGCAGCAGGTGCCTGTCCAGGGCAGCCAAGTGCAGGGAAGGAGCAGGAGCCCAGGCGGCCTCTCTGCTGCTTAGAGTAAACTTCCCCACGTGTACCTCCCAGTGCCTGCATTGCCCAATGTCCTACTTGGGGGTGGGGGGTGCCAAGCAGGCATTGCTGGCCTTCATGTTTTATGGACAAGGAAACTGAGGCTGGGTAAGTCCGTGGCCATGGTGGTGGCTGGGCGGGTCCACAGTGGCTGGATGTGGCAGTTGGGCAGCTTGTTGCAGCCTCCACTCTCTAACAGGAGCTCAATACTGGGTATACGATGGTGAGAAGCCAGTCCTGGGCCCCGCGCCCCTCTCTGAGCTGGGCCTACTGGGGTCCCTGGTCCACGCCGCCCTGGTCTGGGGCCCCGAGAAGAACAAGATCTACTTCTTCCGAGGCGGAGACTACTGGCGCTTCCACCCCAGCACCCGCCGTGTGGACAGCCCTGTGCCCCGCCGGGCCACCGACTGGCGAGGGGTGCCCTCTGAGATCGACGCTGCCTTCCAGGATGCTGACGGTGCGCTGGGGGTGGGGTGGCTGGGGGAAGCGGGGTGGTGGCTGCATCTCCCACCGGTGGTGGCTGGGCATTAGCTCTCATTGCGGGTCCTCTGCCTGGCGAACTCCTTCTCCACCCCCTCCTCGTGCCAGGGCAGTGCTAGACCCCTGTGCTGCAGATGAGGAGACTGAGGGCCAGAGAGGTACAAGGACTTGCCGAGGTCCCTTGGTCGTGCCTGTTGAAGTAATAACTGCTGCTTGCTGAGGGCCAATGAGGCTCTGGGCACAGTGCTGAGCTCTGTACATGTCTCATGCGATTTCCCGATGTAGCATCTGTTATGAACCCAGTTTCCAGAAGAGCAAACAGAGATTCAGGTGGTGAGGTACCTAACCAGGTCCACCAAGGTGGACAGAACCAGGACCTCCACCCAGGCAGTCCCTGCTTCTAGCCAAGAGCCACCTGCCTCCTGTGATCTTGAAGCACTAGATCTGGGACTCACAGTCCAGCGCTCTCTCCCGTGTCCCCCCTTTGCTTCTGTGCTCCCCCACATCGGGACCTGCCGGGAAAGCTGTCCTGTAGTGGTCTCGGGCTCCTGGGCTCCAGGTCGCCAGTGTCCCCCATCTGACTCAAGGCACAGGAGAGGTGGTGAGAGGGGCGGGATTTGCTTTCCTGAGGGGCAGGAGTTGGGCCTCCGAGGCTCTGGCCTCTGTCAGTCTGGGTGGTAGCTCATATCAGACCCTGGGGCAGGCAGAAGGGCTTGCCCAAAGGGAGGTTTTGGAAGGGACACCCTGGGGTCTACAGGTTTCAAGGAACTCAGCAGTGGCCAAGGTCTGCCCACTGGGACTTGCCCCTGTGTCCACCCGCCCCGCCTGACCCTCCTGTCTCCTCAGGCTATGCCTACTTCCTGCGCGGCCGCCTCTACTGGAAGTTTGACCCTGTGAAGGTGAAGGCCCTGGAGGGCTTCCCCCGCCTCGTGGGCCCCGACTTCTTTGGGTGTACCGAGCCTGCCAATACTTTCCGCTAACCATGGCTTGGATGTCCTCAGGGCCCCTAACCCCTGCCAGGACACTGACATCGGCTGGAGACCGTGGCCATCTTTGTGGCTGTGGGCACTGGGTGCGGCACGGAGCCGTGCCTACCCGGGGGTGGGGGGGGAGGCGGGCACTGCCATCAGGACTGCAGGAAGGGCCGCGCGGGTCGTGGCCACTGCCAGTGACTGCCTCAGACTGGGCAGGGAGGCTCCGGCATTAAGGGTGAGGGTGGCCTCAGGCCAGCTCCACCCAACCTGTGCTGGTCACAGTCAAACCCAGCTGCCTTGGGTCTCTGTCCCCATCCTTCAGAGTAGCACCTCAGCAGGGCTGGGGGAGTTGGAGCCCTCACTGTCCTGGCTGTGGGGTAACACAGGGTGCTGGCATGTGGGTCCCAGGGCACTGTGCCTTCTGTCTTTTCCTGAGAAGTCAGCTCTAGTAGGTGCTTGGAACTGGCTGCCTTCCAGTTGGTGGTTCTGGAGACCTGTTCCCCAGGATCCAGGGCACAAGGGCCAGGCAGCTGGGGAGGGGGGTGCTTCCTGCCAGAGACCCTGGGACCTGGAGGCCCCAACATACCTCAATCCTATCACGGGTCAGATCCTCTCCAGCCCTCACCCCACACCAAGCCCTCCAAAGCCATGTAAATGTGTACAGTGTGTATAAAGGCTTTTCTTTTTTTTTTTACTGAGGACTGTCATTAAACATGGTCATTTTCTACCTGCCTGCCTGGGGTGTCTCTGTGACTGCAAGGCCAGGATGGGGGGAGAGCTGGGCCAGGGAGGTGGGAGGACTGGCTGGGAACCTGCTCTGCCCTGGGAGCCAGGGTTGCAGCCCACCCCACCCCCAAGCCCCTGGTCCTCGGGGCCGGGTGCCCTGCTTAGGGCTCCTCCTCATCTTGCTGGATGCCCGGAGTGGCTTTATAATCTGTTCCCTGCCTCCACAATGGCCCCTCATACCCTCGTCCACCAAGTGGTGGTCACTCTTTCTGATCATGCCACGTTCCAGCCCCTATCCTGCCGCTGTCAAGACACAGAACAAAACTCATGGTTACCACCGCCAACCATTCCTAACTCTCCAGGGTCTCCTCGCCTGCCACCCAGCCCCACGCGAATGTTCTTCGGAGTGGCACCTACCACGGCTGCCATTTATCAGATGGAACCATAGGAAATTGTCAGCAGTGGGTCGTTTTTGACCTACTGCAATTGTTCAACCGGATACACGGATGCTTTGATGCTTTCCAGTGTGTCAGGCCCCGCTCCAGCTGTAAGCGCCCCAGGGCAGGGCTGTCTGGCTTCAGTGCACCCGGCTTGTGGTAAGCATAAAGCGCAGAGTTAAGGAGGGAATGGAGACGGTCCCCCCGCCCCCACCAACCCCAGCACTCAGAGGATGCACCAGCCAAACCAAACACCACCTGGGCCTTGAAATCCTGCCAACCCCATCCCCAAAGCCACAGGAACAGTGTGGGCCCGGAGCTGGGATAGCGGTCCCTGAGCCCTCCTATCCTCTCAGCTGCACTGAGTTCTTGGGCCGAGGAAACTGAGGCATATGTGCTTCTGGCCTCCTCCAGGCCTTCAGGCCTCGCCTCGTTCCTCCTCACTGGGCTGAGTTACAGTCCCAGCTGTGAGACTGGGAAGACCACCGCCTGAGTCAGGGCCGCGGTTGCTATTTCTGTCCGTGAGAAATTTTCCCTGGTACCTCCACTTCGGAGGCGGCCTGGGAGGAAGAGAAACGTGTCGAGACTCCTTTAAGGGGCACGCGGGGGCGCGCTCGGCCTTTTGTTTGGGCGGCAGCGGCGCGCGCGTCAGCGTCAACGCCCGCGCCTGCGCACTGAGTGCGGCCTGGTCGTCGTCTGCTGCGGCGGTGGAGGAGCCCGGCGGCGGCGCAAGCACCTGGCCCGGCTCGGCCAGCCCTTCGCCTCCGGCTTCGGCTTCCCTGGGCTCGGCGCGCCCCGGCCCCGCCTCAGCCCTCCTGACCCTCGCAGCCCGATCGTGGCCGCCCGACTCTGCCGCCGCAATGATGATGATGGCGCTGAGCAAGACCTTCGGGCAGAAGCCTGTCAAGTTCCAGCTGGAAGACGACGGCGAGTTCTACATGATCGGCTCTGAGGTAGCCCGCGGCGCGTCCTCTCTCTTCGGGCCCCGGGCCGGCCTGGTCCCCGCGGGAGCCTCGGGGCGGGTCTGCGCGCCGGGAACGCGCGTCTCCATTCATCGCGGCGGACGGGCGGGCGCGCGCGTGCGCGGCCGGCCAGTGGGGCGTGGTCTGTCTGTGTCTGGGGGCGCGGTTTGACCGGGGCGTGGTTGAGCAGTCCCCAGCCCCGCGCTCGGTTCACCCACCGGTGTTGCGGAGTCGCGGACTCCCCCGGCTGCCAGGGCTGCGGCGTCCCGGGGCCACGGGGCCACGCTGAGTTTCACTGCTCCAGCCGGACACATAGAAACGGGGTGTTATCTCTTGCGACACGTGGGGGGAGATGTTGTACCCCTCACGCGCACCTGTCCCACACTGCTGGAGCTGGGATCCTGAAATCGTATGTTCGAAACACGGGGCTTAATGAGGGCTCACTCCCTTCGTGTTCGTGAACTTTGAGGTGGGCGGGGAGTTGTTCTGACCTTTGATTACCAGTGAGGAAACAGGTTGGGAGGAGGATACTTGCTTTTGGATGGCTAAGGCCGCAGCCCCCGAGTTAGATCTATGAGCAATTCGGAAGCGCTTGACACTTCGGATATCTTGAACTAACTCTGAGTTAGTACAGGGGAAAGAGCCTTATGCTTTAATCCTTAACTAAAAGTGACTTTTCAGCACTTTGTTGAATCATGTGGTTGACTGACTTTAGGAAAACCCTACAACTGGTTCTTCACTGGTAGTTTATACCAAGTATATTAAGTTTTTCCAGATTGCCTCAAACTAGGCTTTTTGGCAGTCCCAGGTCTGTGTGTGTACATGCACATACACATATATTTTTCAATTATGGATATGCAATTTAGATGTGCAAACACCAAGCAGTAGTGTCTTCCTCATGTAATGAGCTAAGTGCAGATCTTGGAGAGTTAAAGCAGTTACAAATGCCAGCGGTTGCTTCTCCTTGTAGCAGTTTTCAGTATTAGACATTTCATTCCTTTTTTTTTTCTTTTTTTCCCCCACAATGTTTTTTTTTCCATCACAATTGAACATAGTGTGAATGAATTAAGCCTCATGATGGTCACACTGAGGCTTCCAGGACTCCCTGTGATTCCTGACTTGTCTGAGTTGTATTGAGTTATGAGACCAGTGTTTTCAGTAGCATCAGAACCTTAGTGTTTCCTTTTTTCACCAGTTTTTGTAAAACACAAGGGGCAGGATGCAACACATTTTTCATGTCATCACAAAAATACTCTTCAAAGCTAGCTGTGCTGAGGAGAGGAGCCAGTGCTGTGGAGCACTGAGGAGCTGAGGAGCCTCAGCTGTGCTGAGGAGAGGAGCTGTGCTGAGGAGAGGAGCCAGTGCCTGCCATCTGCCATAGCTCATGGTCCTCATTGGCTGGTGGGCACAAAGGCAGTGGAGGAGTTTCAGTTTGTGATGATGGACAGATTGTTTAAAGAAACCTTTACCTGGGACTTCCCTGGTGGCGCTGTGGTTAAGAATCCGCCTGCCAGTGCAGGGGACATGGGTTTGAGCCCTGGTCCAGGAATATCCCACATGCTGCGGAGCAACTAAGCCCATGAGCCACAACTACTGAGCCTGCGATCTAGAGCCTGCGAGCCACAATTACTGAGCTCGTGTGCTGCAAAATACTGAAGCCCGCGCGCCTAGAGCCTGTGCTCTGCAACAAGAGAAGCCACCGCAATGAGAAGTCCATGCACCACAACGAAGAGTAGGCCCTGCTCACTGCCACTAGAGAAAGCCTGCACGTAGCAGCGAAGACCCAGTGCAGCCAAAAATAAATTAGTAGTTAATTTAAGAAAAAAAAAGAAAGAAAGAAACCTTTACCTGATCTAACGGGCAGGAAGAGCAGTCAGTTGAGCATTGACCCTGAGTCGGTGGTACTTTTGAAAATCAAGCTTGCGTTTATTAGGTGGAGCCCACAGCCAGGTGGGCAGAACGTCAGGAGGCCTGGTTCCAGCTCTGCCTGTGTGTCACTTTTCTCATGTATGCAATGAGATGCTTAGACTAGATGGTCTCTAAGATCTTCCCCTTAGCACATTTTAGATTCTAGACAGCTAACTGCAGTCTTCTCTTTCAGCCCTGTTGAGTGAGAATGTTTGTCCTGAGATACAGTATATAGAGACCACATGGGAGAAGGGAGAGGCAGTTTGCTTTCTGGGGCCTGGCTTAACAATCATCAGGCCTTGAGAGGCCTGGGAAGGGTTCAGGGTCAGAGTGCTGTCTACTGATAAGCAGCAGCTCCTCTGACAGCATTGGGTGGATGACCCCCAGGCCCCTTGCCCTTGGCAAACAGGCACCATATTCAGAGAGGTGGGCCCGCCAGAGCAACACCCTCAGCGCCCCCACACACTTGGGTGTAGCAGCCTTGGGAGGGCATCCACAGGTGCAGTGAGCGTGTCACCCTTCTCCTGCCATCTGCAGGCAGCCGTTGTCACCATGCCAGAGTCACTACTGAGAGGATCCTAGGAAATCCTCATAACCACAGCTTGGTTTTCCATTTGGGAAACCCGGGTCCAGAGGTGGCAAAGGCTGGTTCAGGGAAAACCCAGGAAGGCAGGCCTGGTCTCCTAAGTTCTGAAGGGACCTTGGGAAGGGCCTAGGAGTGTGGGAGGTCTGCAGGACCTGCAAAGTAGTAGTGGGGGCATTACAGTCAGTGTCTTTTCAAAAACCTAATGGAAACTATGTGTTTACCCTTGGACGGTAACCACACTCAAGCCAAATAACTCGCATGGGTCTGTGCCTGCAGTGGGGAGCACCAGTGACCCTGTGGCCACTTTCTCTTGCACTGTTCGGCAGCCCTGGTTGGGCATCATGTAAATCTTTGATTCATGGAAAATGGAGAAACTTTTTAAAAATAAATATACTATAATGGGGTAGGTAAGTGGGAAAGTAGTAGAAGTGGTCCTTCGTGGGTGAACCTCACAGCTGATGAACGTCTGACAGAGAAGCAGGGCGACCCAGAAAAGGGAAGTGATGCCTGGTCACAGGTGGAGCCAGCACCCAGTCCACCTGCTGTCCCTGGCCATGTGACTCAAGTGTTCGTTTTTGAAAAGTCAGTGAAACAATGGAGTTTCTTTATAAAAACTTTAGGACTAGATTTCTTTTCATCAAGTAAGCCGTACTTCGAGTATTTGGTACAGGCAAACTGAAGCTATTGTTTGGGGCAGTAATGATTTATATAGCAATCTAAGGACTGCTGATAAGTGCATTTTAAACTCTTTGGAAAATTCCTTTGGTATTTCTGGTTTGAGTTTTGTTACTAAACAAAGCAACAAAGGCCATGGGGGAAATTATCCTGCATCTGTCTAAAATTAAAAGACCTTTTTGGTCTTTATTACATCGTAAAAATATCAAAGTCTTAAGATAAAAGAAAGTCAGAGAGGCCTTGCATTTCTGGAAAGTGCCAGAGATCCTTAGTCCAAAATCAGAATCACATCGAGCTGCTTAGTGAGCTCGGGGGGCCTGCCTCCCCAGTGTCTGGTCAGGCCTTTCTGAATTTGGTCCTGTCGTCTGGATGCAGATGTTATTACCCCTGCCAGAGGAACAGATGTAGGCCAGATACGAACTGCTGTTGAACCCCTGATGTCAGCAGAATGTATTTTTACTGCTGCTGGAAGCCTGGCGCCTGGAGGCCAGGGGGCCAAGTCGAGGTGTGTTTGTCTGTCACTCATCCAGCAGAGCCTCTGAGCCAGGGCCCTCCCCTTCCTCGAGGAGCTGCGACCCTCATAATGAGCCTTCTCGCTTTACTCATAGGTGGGAAACTACCTCCGTATGTTCCGAGGTTCTCTGTACAAGAGATACCCCTCGCTCTGGAGGCGACTAGCCACTGTGGAAGAGAGGAAGAAAATAGTTGCATCGTCACATGGTAAAAAAACAAAACCTAACACTAAGGGTGCGTCTTCACGAGGGTTTGTAAACCTGTTTCAAAACCACTCGCTTATGTCATGAAGATAAAACGTTTTCACTCCGGAGCGTCTTCACGGCAGCCCTGACCTTAGGGTGGCGGAGTGTCCTGGGGGCCCCCTGGAGCGGGTGGTCCTCCGTCAGGGTCGGTCAGGGTCAGGTGTTGGCAGCGGGCAGTAGGTGGAGGGGGCGGGGCCAGGGCGGAGAGGGTGTTGTGAAGACCACTGGTCTGAAAACGTTTTAGGAATGCTGTGATGCTCTACCATATGCCGCGGGCGTGTTGCCATCGTCACCCTCCATGCGCCCGGGCGGCGGGGGGCCGCCCCAGCCCCCTCTCCCCTCGGGCTTTCACCGCTTCGCTTCCCAGCGCACATCCATCGTGTGGCACTTGGTTCTGGCAGTCGGTCCGCTGGTGCTCGTGTGCATGTCCCGCTTGGGGCTGTGGGGCGCTGCCACCCGACCCGGGAGGGCGGGCAGAGGGTGCTCCTCACCTCTGAGCTGGGGAGAGGCCCTGTGCCTCTGGGCTTGGTCGAAGCTGCCTTCCCTTTGGCAGGGTTGCCTGGCGGAGCTGGCCCGGGCCTCGTGTGCGTGTGCCTGAGTGCGTGCGCGTCGCCCGTTTGCGTGCGTGTGCCCGTTTGCGTGCGTGTGCCCGTTTGCGTGCGTGTGCCTGCGTCCCTGCGTGTGTGCATGTGCGCTTTACAGTCTGTCCCGTGCCGGTATGTCTGTAGGCGCTGCGTTGGTCTCGTCTACCATGTTCTTTTAATGCAGGAGCCGGAGCTGCTTTTCTATGCGCTGCTGTAACTTTTCAGTCCCTCCCGCGCTTTCCAAAGCCTCCCTGGTCCTCCCTCCGCCCCAGTGGAGCGCCAGTCACTAACCAGTGCGTCCCCAGCTGCGCTTGCCCCTTGGAAGCCTTGGCGACTCTTTGGCCTCGCGCTCGGGAGACTCTTTCCTGTAACCATCTGTCTCTCCACCAGGCTTCCTAGGTGAGCTGTGGTCGAACTGCCTAGAACTCCCCGCTCCCGGGCAGCTCGCATCCACTGGCGCTGGGCCAGGAATTCCTGTTTGGTGTACAGCAGCTCTTTCCAACTCTCTGGGCTCTTGTTTTAAAAGAAAAATGTTTCTCATCCCTCATTTCATCTCCACCTTGCTTCGTGTCGTGGACTGCAGCGGTGTCAGACCTCTTCCCACTGGCGGTGTCACTCTGGAGCCTTCCTTTCCCCGAGAGGCCCCGTGGGCTGAGCTGCCCATGGGCGTCCCCTGTGCCTGGAGCCAGTGCTCCTCCCGGGACACGTTAGTCCCCGTCCATCCAGGGAGTGCTGACCCGGGAGGGCTTCTAGAGAAAGCCAGGGTCCAGACCGCCCCTTTGGAAGAGGCCAGCATTGGGCAGTAGTGAGGTTGACACCCGCTTTCCCACCTCCTGCATGTGAGGACCTCAGTGCGCTGCATCTCCTGGCTGCTGCTGTTCACTGCCCTCCCGCAGGGTGACCGCAGCCGCATCTCTGGTTGCAGATCATGGATACACGACCCTTGCCACCAGCGTAACTCTGTTAAAAGCCTCCGAGGTGGAAGAGATTCTGGATGGCAACGATGAGAAGTACAAGGCCGTATCCATCAGCACGGAACCCCCCACCTACCTCAGGTACTGCACCCCCGGGCTCGGCTCGCTCTCGGGACACCCACGGGTATTTTTCTCATGCCCTGGAGCCAAAATACTTTTCAGCAATTTACCCATTGTGTTTACAGATCATCTTAGCCAGGCTTCGAAGTTTTTTCTGACTTTGGAATTTCTAAGAAACATAAGTCAAATCTTGGGTTCTGGAGAGTCATTAAGAAATGCTTTGAAAGTGGGATTCACTAATCTGTCAGAACAATTAGCGGCCCAGATCAACTCACAAAAAACACAAAAAAGATTTGAACGTATCAACGTAGATCCTTTGAAAGAGCATTTACACTAACAGTTAAACGGGAGAAATTGGGAAGTTGCTACCTTGTAGAGTTTGTTCATTTAGATTTATAAGAAAAACTTGGATACCCCAAGTATTTTCTCTATTTTATGTAGACAAATAGGTAAAGTGTGATCCACACTGAAGCACAGGAGTAAACAAACACAGGGAATGATGTTTGTTCTTGGGTGTGATTTTAAAAATGCAGAATAAAAAAATAACTAGCAACATAAAGAACCGGGGAGGGCGTCATGGAGTGGGCACACTCACGCCCACCGTGGCGGCTCTGCCTCAGGCATTGCGGCCCCAAAGTTTTTTGTTGGTCTCTGATCTATTAATTCCACCCCTGGGAATTTGTCCCAGGGAAATAATTTATACTGTAAACAAAAACCATTATAAGTACAGAGATGCTATTGGTGGCATGTGAATTATAAAGGGAACTAGGGAGCCCCTTGAGTGTCCTGCCTCAGGGAAAGGCTATGTGAGCAAAGATGCAGACACCCAAATAGTCTGGGGTTACACGATGTGTTGTGGGTAAGTAGACCCTGCAGCAACCCGAAACCTGGCTCACATGAGCGAGACGTGCAGAATACCTGCGTGACGCTTTCAGCTTTCACGAAAACATGCGTTTAGGTGCATGAGATGGCGGGAGCACTAAGGCGGGGGGCAGGCCATTGTTTCAAGTGATGCGGTTACGGAAAATCATGAAGGTGACATGGTACAGAGGTTGGGGATGGAAAGGTGAGTTACGTACAGTTGCTGCCCTCACGTTGCTCCCAGGTTACTAGGGACACGGCCCGAGGGTGATGAAGGGGCTCGCAGAGCAATGTGGGAGCCCACCCACTCCTGTTGGTCAGCTTTTGGTACTTTCCTAGTAGTAAAAGCAACTTGTAATTTGGAGAGAAGAGTGAGCTCTTTTGGGACATGGGTTCCTTGGATTACTTTGAGCATCATTTTCTAGAGAGTATGTACCAATGTGTCTTCTCACTTCTACTGGTCTGAAGGCCCAGAGGCCAGAGCCGTTGCCTAGTCTGTCTCAGCCTGGACTGCATGTCTAAAATAACAGTCTGAGTCTCTGGCTGCTTCAGACCTCCAGCGACTCACAGCCACCTGCTGAGTGCATCCGTTTCCTGCAGAGCACGCCAGCCCCTGTAATCAGGACCCTCTCTGTGTCTCCAGCCCTGCTGCCCTCTGTGTTCTTCCTGAAATGCTCGCCTCTCCTCCACCCATGAACCGTGACTCAGCATTTAAGCCTTTGCTCCAGGGCTGCTCTACTGGGCAGCCTTCTTGTACAGTCTCCTCCTGGCAGAAGGGACTGTGCTTCCATGTGGCTGTAGCACGTTGGGTCAGCATGTAGCACGTTGGGTCATGGCTGAGGCACTGGGCTGGGGCCCCTCTGCACCTCCCCTAACCCAGGAGCAGTGCTGGTGGGAGCCTAGGGAATAGACACCCGTGGAGTCTGGGGTGCACAGAGGTCCCCACTGGGACCTGGGGCCCAGCAAGGGCGCAGTGGGCATTGACCACGACCTGATGCCTGGTGGGCAGTTTCAGCTCGTAGACTGAGCGGAGGTATTTCCATGTCTCCCAGGGAACAGAAGGCTAAGAGGAACAGCCAGTGGGTGCCCACCCTGCCCAACAGCTCCCACCACCTGGACGCCGTGCCCTGCTCCACCACCATCAACAGGAACCGCATGGGCCGGGACAAGAAGAGGACGTTCCCGCTGTGGTGAGTGGGCCTCGCTCTCTGACTCCACCGAGGTCCTCCAGCATGTTTTAGTTTCCTCCTCCCCAGAAAAACGCTCTGCTTTGACCTCCTGTCCCAGAAACTCTGCACTGCTCCTCCTTGGGGCTGGTCTCCCTCAGCGTCCAGCATGACTGGCCTCTGCGTGGTCCAGCCTGGCTCTGCCTGCGCTCACCCCCGGCTCCTCAGGTAACGTTCCTGGGTGCAGTCCCTGGACCTTTTCTCTGCCATCCACATGACTCGATGCTTAGTTGCTCGTGGTGCCCGAACAGAACGCCACAAACTGGGTGGCTTGAAGCAACACAAGTTTATTCTCACACAGTTCCAGAGGCCGGGAGTTTCACTGGGCCGGAATCAAGGTGTTGCCAGGCCCTGCTCCCTCCAGGGTCCCTTCCAGCTGCTGGCAGCTGCCACGTTCCTTGGCTCGTGGCAGCATCACTCCAGTCTCTTCCTCCCTGGTCACATGGCCTCCTCTGTGTGTGTGAAATCTCCCTCTCTTTCTCTGTCACTCTCTTTTTTTTTCTGGCCGTGCCGCGTGGCTTGCAGGATCTCAGTTCCCTGACCAGGGATTGAACCTGGGCCACTGCAGTGAAAACCTGGAATCCTAACCACTAGGCCACCAGGGAACTCCCTCTCCCTCTCCTTCTTGTGAGGACACTTGTGATGTAATTTAGGGCCCACTTGGACAAGGCTCCCTCTCCTTTTTTGCTCTGTAAGGTGACAGTCACAGGTTCCAAGACTTAGGACATAGATGTCTCTGGGGGGCCATTTTTCAAGCTCCTGCCCGCTAAGCTGTCCTCTGAATGCCGCCCCAGGCACCTCCAGCACAGGCTGCCTGCAGGCTTCTCTAGCCCAGGACACAGCAATCCCATCCTTCCTGTGCCTGGGCCACAATCCTGGAACCCTTCCTCCTTCTCACAGCATAGAGCCAGTCTCCACAAATTCTACTTGCTCAGCTCTCCAAGTGTCCAGAATCCGACCACCCTTGGCCAGCTCCCCACTGGGCGTGTGCCCCTTCACTCAGGGCAGGTCCTCTAGATGCCCCGTCACACCAGCATCCACGTGACAGAGTCCTGGTGGTGGCTGCCACTCTCTGGCCCCGGCTCCTGCCTCCCTTCACCTCAGGCACAGTGGCCTCCTCAGCGCTCTTCAGCTGCCCCGGCACTCCTGCCCTCGCTATTCCCTCACTTCCTGCCAGCATCTGCAGGCTCATCCCTTTCTCCCTCCTCCTTCCCTCCTCCCCCTTCCTTTTTCTCCCTCCCCATCCCTGTTTGAATGTCACTTCTCAGAGTGGTCCTCCCCTTTTAGAATGGCCACTCTGTCCTAGAGCATTCGTGTCTGGGCGGGGAGAGGGGGGTGTTTTCCTCATTTGTTTGTTTATTTGTCATCTGTGCCCCCAGCTCTCTGAGAACAGTTCTCAACCCTCGGTCTTCCACCCTTGGGTTTCCTGTGCCCACCCTCACCCCATATCTTCCCGCTTCGTCTTCCTAAAATACAGGTGTGAGCACAGAACTGCCTTGCTCTCAGTCTTCCGGGGGCTCCCTCGGGGTCGAGGCTGGAGATGGAGAACTGTGGGCACTTGGACCCCTGTGGCTTCCCAGCATCCTGCCACTGCTCCCCCGCCCCATCTGCACCCCTCCTTCCCTCAGCAGCTCTTGACTCTCCTGCCCCTCGGCCTTTGCTCAAGGGCTTCCACTTTTGGGAGTACCCTTCCTTTCCTACAGTTTCCTGGGAAAGTCCTACCTGCTTTGGGGCTTAAATCTCCCTTACTTCGGACATCTCCATCTTGTCCTGCTGCCCAAGTCAGCATCTCTCCTCCCATCCCACGTGTCCGTGGACCCCTGCTGGCACTGTCTCTGCCAACTCAGCCCATAGTGGACAAGTCCCTGTAAGAAGCAGGGTTTCCCCTCTGGTTAGGTCACAGTGACCAGTGGTGCAGAGAGGGAGGCCTTGGGTGCAGGGATCTCAGCCCCCCTTGCTGAGCATGCTGCTGCCTCCCTTCCAGCTTTGACGACCACGACCCAGCTGTGATCCATGAGAACGCGTCCCAGCCCGAGGTGCTGGTTCCCATCCGACTGGACATGGAGATAGATGGGCAGAAGCTGCGGGACGCCTTTACCTGGAACATGAACGGTATGTGGTGGCCAACCCACCATCTTGCACACAGTCTTGTTTCCTGCCTGCTGCCCATCAGGGGGACCCTGGACTCTGATTGTGACATTCAGAGCACTGTGGAGTAGATTTGGACGGTGTGGGCTTTGGGTTCAAATCCTGGAATGCAAACCTGGTTCATTGTTTGAAAATCAGTCAGTGTGATCCATCATATTAACAGACTAGAAAAGATAAATAAATCCCTTGATTATATCAATTGATACAAAAAAAGCATTTAACAAAATCCAGCACTCGTTCTTGATAAAAACTCAGGAAATTGGGAATAGAAAACATAGTGCTGGCAGTACTAGCCAGAGTAATAAGACAGGAAAATGATATAAAAAACATACGCTTCAGAAAGGAAGAAATAAAACTGTCTTTATTTGTAGATGGCATGATTATCTACATAGAAAATCTCAAGAGACCTACCAAAAAAACCTGCTAGAACTAATAACCGAGTCTTAGCAAGGTCACAAGACCCAAAATAGACATGCAAATGTCAATTGTATTTCTATACATTATATACTGTCAGTGAACACGTGGACACTCAAATGTCCAGTATAAAAATATGTTATTATTTAGAGTTACTCAGTTAAGAAAAAAGGTGTAAATCTTACAAACATATAGTTTGTTTCAGGAAACATTTTGTATGCTGAAAACTATAAAGCACTGATGGAAGTAATTAAAGGAGATCTGAATAAATGGACAGACAACTATGTTCATGGATCAGAAGATTCAAGATGTTAATTCTCCCTAAAATAATATGCAAGTTTATTTTTTTTTTCATTTTTATTGGAATATAATTGCTTTACAATGGTGTGTTAGTTTCTGCTTTATAACAAAGTGAGTCAGTTATACATATACATATATCTCCATATCTCTTCCCTTTTAATATGCAAGTTTATAAGCAATTTCTTTGAAAATCCCAGCAAGACATTTTGTAGATTTAGACAAAATTGTTCTAAAATTTCAATGGAAAGGCAAAGGAACTAGAGTAGCTAAAGCAATTTTGGAAAAGAAGAAAGTAGGAGGAATGAGTCTTCCTAATCCCAAGACTTGGTGTGGAGCTGCAGTAATCAAGGCAGCATCTGAATCTACAATGATCATAGACTAAAAAAGTTAACTTTTAAAATCCTCTGCACAATATACTCATAGGATGCTTGGCCTGAGCACCTTAGCTTCCTGCTGCTTCTCCAGAACTGGATGTATGCATTATCAATAGTAGGCTGGCTGAGTGTTCAGGTCTGGCACAATGGTGCTGTGAGGAGGTTGGTCTCTAGCTCTTCTTCTGGGCTAGTGAAATAGTGGGGTCAGTTGTCTGTTAAACAGACCTCATTCTATTTATTTATTTAGTTATTTCTTTCTTTTCTTCCTCCCTCCCTCCCTCCCTCTCTCCCTTCCTCCCTCCCTTCCTTCCTTCCTTCTTTGTTGCGTGCGGGCTTTCTCTAGTTGCAGTGAGCAGGGGCTACTCTTCACTGCAGTGTGTGGGCTTCTCATTGTGGTGGCTTCTCATTGCAGAGCACGGGCTCTAGGCATGTGGGCTTCAGTAGTTGTGGCACACAGGCTCAGTAGTTTTGGCTCATGGGCTCTAGAGCTTAGGCTCAGTAGTTGTGGCGCACGGGCTTAGTTGCTCTGCCACATGTGGGATCTTCCCGGACCAGGGCTCAAACCTGTGTCCTCTGCATTGGCAGGCAGATTCTTAGCCACTGCACCATCAGGGAAGTCCCAGCAGACCCCGTTCTTGAAGATGGAATCATGCCGAGTGCTTGTGAGGGAATTCATTCCTTTTTTATATATATATAAATTTATTTATTTTACTTATTTTTATTTTTGGCTGCATTGGGTCTTCATTGTTGCGTGCGGGCTTTCTCTAGTTGCAGAGAGCGGGGTCTACTCTTCGTTGCAGTGCACAGGCTTCTCATTGCAGTGGCTTATCTTGTTGCGGAGCATGGCTCTAGGCGTGTGGGCCTCAGTAGTTGTAGCATGCAGGCTCAGTAGTTGTGGCTTGCGGGCTCTAGAGCACAGGCTCAGTAGTTGTGGCGCAAGGCTTAGTTGCTCCACGGCACGTGGGATCCTCCCGGACCAGGGCTTGAACCTGTGTCCCCTGCATTGGCAGGCGGATTCTTAAACCACTGCGCCACCAGGGAAACCCGGGAATTCACTCTTTTTTTTCCCTTCTCTGTGGCTCATCCCAGTTTGGCACGTGGTCATTGAAGTTTGGGTTATGAGAAAGGGCAGGTCTGGGGAAAACAGTTGACTGCACAGGACCTTGCTGTAGTCCGGCCAGTAGTGGACAGTCCCCATGAAGCTCACCCCTGAGGCCTGGATCTCCAGGATCCAGGATCCGTACCCACCCCCACGCTGTCGCCTTGCTGAGTGTGTGTGCTGCCCACAGAGTCAGAAACTCAGTGGGGGGGTTGTAAAAAGCCACACGCAGCCCCAGGTGATCTCTGGGGGATTTCCACTGTGGAGGAAGTGGTGGATAGACATGCACCTGCTCCGTCTTCCAGTGGATGCTGGCTTCCAAGTGGCTTGTCCAGAAGGAACCTGTGTTAGCTCAGGCCGCGGTGACAAAGTCCCACAGCCTGGGGGGCATAACAGCAGGTTTTATCTCCTCCCAGTTCTTGAGTCAGGGTGTTGGCAACGTTGGTTTCCTCTGAGGCCATCTTCGCCCTGTGTCTCCACGTGGGCTTCCCTGGTTGCCTGGGTTGGAAGACGGGAGGAAGTGGCACGTCAGCTCTGAAGTGCCTTTGCTTCCCCCCTCCCCAGACAGCTCACTGGTTAGAACTAACAGAGCCGTGCAGTCCTAAGCCCGGGAGCGGGGAGCCTGGGGTTGGGGAGCACATAGGGTCTTGACCACCTCCCAAGGTGTAGGGGGTGTGTGTGTATGGATTGAGGGCCAGAAGCGGGGTGTTCGTCTTGTGCTTCCTCTCCTTACCGTGTCTGGGAGGATCCATCGTCCTCATCTTTATGCTCATCTTCATCCAGGTGGGTTGGCAGAGGAGGACAGGCTGGGGGAGGTCAGGGCTGAGCACGGTGACATTAGGCCCTGCAGTCCACCAGCAATCCATACCTCTCACCTCATTTCAGAGAAGCTGATGACCCCTGAGATGTTTTCAGAAATTCTCTGTGATGACCTGGATTTGAACCCACTGACGTTCGTACCAGCCATCGCCTCCGCCATCAGACAGCAGATCGAGTCCTACCCCACAGACAGCATCCTGGAGGACCAGTCAGACCAGCGTGTCATTATCAAGGTAGGCAGCTCCCTGCCCTGCACCAGGGCCTTCCTTGTACTGGTGGGGGTCATGGGGTGCTGAAGCTACGTGGAGGCTTCAACAGAAGCCTGTCTGGGATTCATGCTGAGGGACAGGGCTTCTGGAAAGCTGTCCTTCAGGCAGCTTATCCCAGGAAAGGTGTGGGCTGGCTTCTGAGTAAGGTATCACATTCTGGGCGCATTTGGGGTGCTGCTGTGGCCTTGCCAGGTGTGGAGCAGAGCCTGGGTGGTACAAAGGAGGTTGTGCCAGCTGACAGGTAGAGCAGGGAAGGCTACAGTAAGATGAGCACACTGCCACACTCTTCCTGTGGGCAGGCTGCGCCAAGCACACCCCATACTGTCTCAGTAACCTCCACCATCCTGGGGGAAGATGCTGTGTTACAAGTGAAGAGGTGGGGCCACCTACCCGCAGCTGCCCTGCTGAGAAGTGGTAGAGCTGGGGTTTGGGCCCAGGCCTGCCTGCTGCAGAGCCTGCTTGGTATGAAGCAATATCTCATTGTGGTTTTGATTTGCATTTCCCTGTTTGTTTGTTTTTTTACGGTATGCGGGCCTTTCACTGTTGCAGCCTCTCCCATTGCGGAGCACAGGCTCCGGACGCGCAGGCTCAGTGGCCATGACTCACGGGCCGAGCCGCTCCGCTGCATGTGGGATCTTCCCGGACCGGGGCACAAACCCCTGTTCCCTGCATCCGCAGGTGGACTCTCAACCACTGCGCCACCAGGGAAGCCCATTTCCCTGTTGATTAGTGACCTTGAATATCTTTTCATGTGTTTATTGGCCATTTGTTTATCCTCTAAGGCTGCTTAAGTCCTTTGTGTTTTTGAATCAGGTTTTTGTTGTTAAGCTTTAGCGGTTCCCTGGGTCTTCTAGATAGCAATCCCTTTTCAGATAAAGTGATTTGCAAATATTTTCTTCTATTCTGTGGGTTGCCTTCTTATGTTGTTGATAGTGCCCTTTGATGCATAGAATTTTTTTATTTTGGTAAAGTCCAGTTTGTCTATTTTTTCATTTATTGTGTATGCCGTTGGTGGCATATCCGAGAAATCATTGCCAAATCCAATGTCATAAAGCTTTCACTCTGTGTTCTTCTAAGAGTTTTATAGATTTAGCTCTTACATTTATATGTTCCATCCATTTTGAGTTAATCTTTGCATATGGTGTTAGGTAAGGGTCCAGCTTCGTTTTTTTTGCATATGTATATCCTGTTTTCCCAAAACCATTTGTTGAAAAGATTATCCTTTCCTCATTGAATGGTCTTGTCAATTTTGTTGAAAATCATTTGACCACATATTTGAGGGTTTATTTATGGGCTGTCCCACTGGTCTATTGTCTGTTTTTATGTTGGTACCACACTGTTTTGATTATTGTAGCTTTGCAGTAAGTTTAGAAATTAGGAAGTGTGAGTCTTCCAGTTTTGTTCTTTTTCATCATTGTTTTGGCTGGACGTCCTTTGTTCTTAGATTCCATATGAATTTTTTTTTTCTTGGCCGAACTCTGTGCATGTGGGATCTTAGTTCCCCAGCCAGAGATCGAACCCAGGCCCCCTGCAGTGGAAGCACAGAGTGTTAACCACTGATCTGCCAGGGAAGTCCCTCCATATGAATTTTAAAATAGATTTTATTCTATTTCTGCAAAAATATTGTTGGGATTTTTTTTTTTTTTTGGCAGTTCGTGGGCCTCCCACTATTGTGGCCTCTCCCGTTGCGGAGCACAGGCTCCAGACGCACAAGCTCAGCGGCCATGGCTCACGGTCCTAGCCACTCCATGGCACACGGGATCCTCCCGGACCAGGGCACAAACCCGTGTCCCCTGCATCGGCAGGTGGACTCTCAACCACTGCACCACCAGGGAAGCCCTCTATTGTTGGGATTTTGATAAGTATTACATTGGATTTGTAGACTGCTTTGGGCAATCTTCACATCTTTATAATATTGTCTCCCAATCCATGAACGTGGGATGTTTTTCCATTTATTTATGTGTTTAATTTACTTCAGCATGATTTTTGTGTTTTTTTTTTTTTTTTTTTTTTTTGCGGTACGCGGGCCT